CAGCCAGCGATGTTGTCTCATTAATGTTTCTGTCTCTCTCCCCCTCTCCCTTCCTCTCTCTATAAAATCAATAAAGAAAAAAGAAAAAGAAAAGAAAAGAAAAAAGAAAGTGATGACTTCCTTCTCTCAACAGCCACAGTACAGTGAGAAAACCTCTATTGTAGGTTTCATCGTAACCTGATTGAATTATTGAGTCACATGTCTTATCTCTCACCCTAGGCTGTAAGCTTCATTTTTTTTTTTAATCCTCACCCAAGGACATTTTTACATTAATCTTCAAATAGAGCTGGAGGGAGAAAGGGAGGAAGAGAGAGAGAGAGAGAAACACTGACGTGATAGAGCCACATTGACTGGTTGCCTTCCGCACGACCCCAACCAGGGCTGGGGTAGAACCGCAACTAAGATACGTGCCCTTGGCCAAACTCGAACCTGGGACTCTTTGGTCCGCAGGCGACATTCCTACCGCTGAGCCATACCAGCCAGGGCATAAGCTTCATTTTTGATAAAGACTCTAAGTATCTCAATATTTAGACCTCATGGTCCACAGTACTGTACCTCTCATCTAATAAAACCTCATTAAATAATAATGAATGAAACACTTTCTCTCAGAGTCTGTGAATATGAGATTGGGGAGAGAGAACAGCATGCCCCATTCCCACACAGACAGTGGAGGACACAGGGAGGACACACCACTTTCACACCCACCCACCAGATGGTTGACATAACATTATTTTAAGCAACAGAACCTTCAGCTGACATCCAGGGTCCCCTGATACTTGCCTCCATCCATTTAAAGAGAGTTTCTAGATCAAAACTAACCCAAGATCTCTGGACATCAGAGTACAAATCTGTTCAGTCTGCATATTTTTCTGCGTCAATAAACAGGGAATAGAATTAGCATCTTCTCCATATGGCCTGCTTCTTTGACTCCAGAACTAGGAGGATGCTATACTCTGGACCATGAATCTAGGCTAGGTTGAATTATTTTTTAAGAATTAAGAAAATTTATGTAGTTATATTTGCTCTTTTCGGTATACAGTTGCATGGGTTTTGACAAATGCATAGTTGTACAACCACAGTCAAGATACAGAAAAGTCCCATCACCCCCCCAAAGAAATTCCCTTTGACTATTCTTTTGCAGTCATATTCCTCCCTACTCTTAACCAGTCATCTGTTTTCCACCCCTAGTTTTGCTTTTTCCAGAATGCCCTATAAATATAACAGTACGTAGTTGTTTCAGTCTGGCTTCTTTCTTTAGTATGATATATATGAGAGTCATCTGGTTGTTGTATGTATCAATAGTTTATTATTTTTCATTGCTGTGTAGTGTTCTATGAACAAATGTGCCATTGCTATTCATTCCTTAGTTGAGGAACATCTGTAGTATTTTCTACTTTTGGCGATTATAAATAAGCCACTGTGCACAGGTTTTTATATTATCATAGTTTTCTATTTCACACAGGCGAATAGAAGTGGAACTGCCAGGACACATGGTAAGTGAATTTTTAAGAAACTACCAAAATATTTCCCATAATGACTGACCCATTTTGTAGCCCCACTAACAACATATGAGAGCTCCAGTTGCTTCACTTCCTTGCCAATACTTGGTATTGTCAAGATTTTATAAAAAGTGATTATTATTTTTTTTTGTCTTTGACACTCTAGATGTGTAGTGTGAGATAGAATTTTGAAACTTTATCTTTTTAGAACCATAATATTTCCATTTCCATAATAAGCCCACACTCAACACCTCCTCCTCCTGTTTTTTCACTTGGATCTTTGTATTATCTTTCCCACTAGATTACAGAGTCATTCGTGGGTAAGGAAAGAAATCTTAGCTATCTTTGTATATATGATGCATTGACATCGCGCCCCAAGTGCAGAAGTTTGCAACAGCAGGCAAATAATACAAGCTACTTAAATAAATGCTTCTGCATAATCAGAATAAACACACAATGACATTAATGCACCCAAAATAAAATATAGTATTACCTAACTCTATCAATTGATGTATATCAAAGAAATTTTAATAAAACTATGTACTTTCCTCCTTTTCAGGGATATTTCCATTTTCATTTGCTTTTGTGGCTATTTATCTAAACTGTAGATTTGGCATTCCTGCTCAACCAAGGAGTAAATTATAAAATATGGTTTGGATGGTGAAATATTTAAGTAACAGATTTCTTGTGCTTATAGGAAAAATAAGATTTTTCTTATTAGTACTTAAGTAGGAGATTATAACTTATTTATTTATTTTATAAATTAGATCACTAACTTGTATTTTTATTGAGCTATAAATGACATATCAAATTATATCAGTTTCAGGTGTACAACATAATTATTTGAAAGTTATAATATATTGCAAAATGATCACAACCATAAGTCCAGTTAACACCTGTCACCACACATAGTTATAATTATTGTGTGTGATAAGAACTTTTAAGATCTAGTTTCTTAGTAATATGCAATAGAATACTATTAACTATAGTCACTATGCTGCTGTACACTACATTTCCAGGGCTTGTATATTTTATATCTGGAAGTTTATACCTTTAGACTCCTTTCATCCATTTTGCACCCCCAACCCCTCTGGTAACCACCAATCTGGTTCTCTATATCTATCAGCTCTTTTTTTTTTTTTTTTTTTTTTTAATATTCCACATATAAGTGAGATCATACAGTATTTGTCTGTCTTTTTTTTTTTAAGTGGTTCTCAGACTTTTATTTACTTTTAATCCTCACCTGAGGATATTTTTACATTTATCTTCAGATATAGTGGGAGGGAGAGAGAGAGAGAGAAACATTAATGTGAGAAAGACACATTGACTGTTTGCCTCCTGCACAACCCCAACCAGGGCTGGGGATGAACTGCAGCCGAGGTACGTGCCCTTGGCTGGAATCGAACCCAGGTCTCTCTGGTCCATGAGCCAACACTCTAAATGCTGAGCCACACCAGCCAGGGCAGTATTTGTCTTTCTTTAGCTGACTTATTTCACTTAGCATAATTTCCTCAGGGCCCATCCCTGTTTTTACAAATGGCAAGACATTTTTGTGGCTGAATAATATTCATTATATGTCACATTTTCTTTATTCATTCATACATCGAGGAACACTTAGGATGCTTCCATGTCTTGGCTATTGTAAATAATGCTGTAGTGAACATGGGAATGTAAACATCTTTTTGAGTTTGTATTTTTGTCTCCTTCATATTAATGCCCAGAGGTGGAATTGCTGAATCATATAGTAGTTATATTTAAAAGTTTTTGAGGAACCTCCATACTGTTTCCATAGTAGATGCACCAATTTATATTTCCACCAACAGTGCACCTGGGTACCCTTTTCTTCACATCTTTGCCAACTCTTGTTAGCTCTCTCTCTCTTTTTTTTTTTAATCCTCACCTGAGGACATTTTTCCATTTTTTGTACAGATAGAGTGGGAGGGAGAGAGAGGAAGGGAGAGAGAGAGAGGGAAACATCGATGTGAAAGGGACACATCGAGTGGCTGCCACCCGCACGACCAACCAGGGCCGGACACAAACTGCAACCGAGGTACGTGCCTTTAGCGGGAACCGAACCCGGGTCTCTCTGGACCGCAGGCTGACGCTCCAACCGCTGAGCCAAACCGACCAGGGCAGCTCTCATTTTTTGATCTTAGCTATTCTAACAGGTGTGAAGTGATATCTCACTGTGGTTTTGATTTGCATTTCCCTTATGATTAGTGATACTGAGTACCTTTTCATGTACTTATTGGACATCTCTATGTCTTCTTTGGAAAAATGTTTTTTTTTGTTCTTCTGATCATTTTTTAATTGAATTGCTTGTGGATTTTTGGTCCCCTCCCCCTACTTACTTGCATTTCAATGTGCTTTTTAGGTGAGAGAGAAAAAGTTAGAATTACAGGGAGGAACCTCCTGTAAACATCATTTATCAAGTGAGCTGGGGCAAAAAAAGATGTAGAGAGTCACTGATAAAAACTCGAGGAACCCGGCCAGTGCGGCTCAGTGGTTGAGCGTCAACCCATGCACTAAGAGGTTGTTGGTTCGATGCCCAGTCAGGGCACATGTCCAGGTTGTGGGCCTGATCCCCAGTGGGGGGCATGCAGGAGGCGGCCAAATCTTTCTCTCCTTCCCCTTCCTCTCTCTAAAATCAATAAAGAAAATAAAAATTAAGACAAAAAGACTCAAAGAACCTCCAAATGGAATGAGTCTGAGAAGCTCTGTCAGCCAGCCTCCCAGTCATTGCAGGACTTGGTTGAATGCTTCCACCATTGGAAGCTCACCAGTTCCTACATCATCATCGCATACATCCTTATATGCAAGTCTCAAATAAATAAATAAATAAACACTAGGAAGGCAGCTTCTTTCTCAGCTTTTGCTTGTCTCTGTATTATACAAAACCTTCTGTAGCACCTACGGAAATCTAAAAATGGAATTTGGAATCTATTGTGGCAGAAGATATGTTCATCGTCACATTACCCAGCTGTGTGCCGAGTTAATCTCATTAATTTTATATTGCAAGATTATATATATTTTGAAGAGATGAGTTCAGTGGCTTAAATGACATGAATGTTGGAACTTTTAAAAATGAATATTCCTTCTGAAACTTCAGTTTTTGAATGAAAGTAAACCGACAACTTAAAGTTGTATACAGGAGATCATTTGTATAAATCTATAGAAAGAAATGTCTTAAGCATAATCAATAGGCCGACTAAATTCTCAGTCTTACAGCAGAAAGGATTATTGCAGAATTCTAAAACAAGGGACTTTCTGACCTTAGACATTTCTCTTTCTATGGGCTAGTTTCTGTGGTGATTTTGTACTAGTTGTCAATTTAGCTCAGGTGGAAATCCATTTCCAGAATCCCCTTCCCTAGATGGTTCTTCATTACAGTTGGCTACAAGGGAAATGTATGTAAGATGTGAAGGCAGAGGAAGCAGCATGTTACTAGGCTCAGAGGGGCAGGGGGTGCCTCAGGTGCTGTGTGCTGCTGTCCCAGCTCACCTTGGTGATGTCAGATGGCACTCAGGTTATGGTCCTTCGTCTCCCACCAGATCCCCATCTCCAGCTTCTGGGCTTTCCAATGAATAGCGCCAGCTCCTTCTGTGGTACTCCAAGGTTCACCGGGGTTGGAAGAGGTAGGAGTCCAACACAGGTTCCGTTTGTCTTGCAGGTTCCAGTCTGTCTCTGCTCAGCTCAGAGTCACATCCAGCTTTTCTTCCCAGTCTCCAGCTCTGCTAACCTGTGGTGATTTCAGGCCCAACATCAGATGCAAAAGCAACTGCTTCTCATAGATGTCTTTATAAGCTCCCACAATTGTGTGAGGTTTAAAACTTATAATAAACCATCATAGTGGTTCTGTTTTCCAAAGTGATGTGGCTTACATTAAATCTTTTGTATTCAGAATATGTACCTGGTTTTTAATATTATTTTTGTTCATAGCTTCCTTTGAAAAGAATGAATGATAGTATCAAATGCAATAGTACTGATTTATTAAGCCTAAGTATGTGATTTTATTTTACCTTGTTTTTGAGAACGGGATTTAGAATATGCACTTTTGCCCACTTCTCCTCAAAACTAGTGGGCTGGGGAATTGGGAGTTTGGTCCATAATTAGAGAACAGAGCAAAACGAACAAACTAATTTGAACTTTGGTGCAATTACTTGAGTTATAAACCACCTGAGCTAACTAGCTGTTTCTTCAATATATAGGGTACCCCTCAAAAATGTATACGCACTTTGAATAATTACAAAGCCAGTGTTTATTCAAATACATTCATTTTCAAAATGTAATAGAATCTACAGACACCCTGTCTACATTTTGGGGGGGGGGGTACCCTGTATGTTTTAACATGACGTTTAGAGAAAGTTATATCTACTTATGGGAAAACACAGACATTAACAATTTAAAAACAACTTCAGCTAATCAATTTTTATCACAGTGTATGCATTGGAAGGAGATAAATACTGCCATGAGTGTGTAAACCTCTTTAATGTTTCTTAATATATTTTGTGGTCTTTAAAGTCAAGGATATATCTTTTCATATTTACATCCTCCCATAATGGCACCCAGATAAGTCCTTATTAAACGTCAATTGAACTAAGTAAAGAACAAATTTCAACTTCCTGTTTTTCAGAAAAAAGAAAAGAGCAGCAGTGTTTGAGCAAATAACCACAACCAACTGTATCCTCTGATGCTTTTCTCACTATTGTATGGAAACTCCAGCAGGAAACCACAGCCATATCCTTTTTACCGGTATAGAAAAATCTTATGAATTGCTGGCAAGCATAAAACAGCTCTAGTGACATTATATAGATGATTGTGACAATTGATACTCAACGCACTCAGTCACTTCACAACATTTTAGCAGTGTTTCTGAAGAATGAATTTGTAAGAAAAAATAGTCATAATAATTGTTACACCTTAACCACTTGTTGAGGAGAATTATATAGAAAAACAATAAATGCCATTGAAATTTAATTCCTCCCTCAATGTAATTGATTTTAAAAAACCTGATAAGTGTTAAAATTCCCCATTTGACTCAGACCTGTTAAAATTCTAATTGACCACAGATGCATTACCCTCTATTCAAAAATAATGACAGTGCTAATTGTTTTACCTTTGTATTCAAAATGGCCTAAGAATTAGACCTTTCTAGCTATGAAACACAGAAACCCCTTTGTCCATTCTTGTGTATAATCCCATTCAGGATTGCACGACACATGTTTTATATTTGTAATATGAGCCTTGAGTGTGTTTTTATCAATGAAGGGACTTTCCATTGGAGATCTCTTAGTCATTTAGGAAGTACAAAGAAAAGATTATGGCAGAAGTCCAGGACTTTCAAGGGCTTTAACTTTAATGGGAATCACAGACATGTATATTCATTTTACACAGAAGTCAGAAGTACTGAACCCTGTAATCTTTCCTGCATGCCCATCTTACCTAGTATACACGTCCAACATGGAATGTTCATTTCATGAGTACATGTGTAAATGAATGAATGCATAAATGCTTGGCAGTGATGAAGAGGGGGAGATAAAGAAGGATCTCTAAGTTCCAGAAAAGGCTGAAGAGACCTAAAATTCAGAAACCAGACCTAAAACGAAAGGAAAAAATGCAGAACTGTTACCAAAAACTTGAGCATTAGAGCTAGAATTGATCTCAGGGATTTTGGACTAACCTTCTCATTTCTAAAGAGCCCAAGGTGCCTGGGGCCATGACATACTTTCATGTGCCACTTTCACAGATCGTGACATCTGTGCACCTCTTTCATGATTGTTGCCTTATGTGCATCTTACCTAAACAAGGTTTTACTTAATATTTTTCATTAAATTGACTGTAACTGGTGCACTAGTTGAAAATATTAACCTAGTCTTAAGAAATGCTATTTGTAAAGTCAGGTATGATGTAGTATATTTTTCATCAAGAATATTTTTTAAATGAACTTTTAATTTATTCTTAATATGTTATATTAAAATAAAATCATAACCATTGCAATAAAAAGTTAATCTATATATTAAGATCATTTCACAAATCTCTGATGAGACTCTCCTCCAGTTTTGAAAAGCAGAGAACCCTACGGTGCCAAACCCTGGAACAAAGAGGTCACAGACACTCCAGATTGATGACAAGAGTCCCATAATAAGGCTAATGCCTGTTTTGTCAATTTTTTAAACTAGAATAAAATCAATTCCTTATTAAGGAACTAAAAAAAAAAAATCAAAGCAGAAGTCATGGCTTTAAAAACAATTAGTGGATTTTCATTTTCAAAATGGACAGAGCTATGGATATTCATCTTCCTGTCAAGTACCATTAGTTTATTAGAAATATAGTTTTAAGAAGGAACATGCTTCAAATGGGCCCCCTGTACATAGATTACCTTTTTTTAGCCTTCAATTTGTAACTAGGACACTTAGCTGCAAGCTGTAATAAGGAATTGCTCAACTTTCATAAGTAAATGAAAGTCTATGATTAAAACATCAATCTGGAAACACTAGTTCTATAAATAGTTTCTAAGTCCAAAGTCCACAGGTAGGGCTAAACACAGACACATGTCTGTTTTTTCCTGTTATATGTGTGTATGAATATGTGTATGTACACGCATATGTGCATGTGTGTGCACGTGCATGTGCGTATTATACCCATGTATGTGCATGTGATTTTGTGATATGTATTTGGTTTTTCTTTTGAGAAAGAAATATCTTTTGCTGAACATATGTGTCATCTGGATATTTTAATAAACACTTTCGGTTTCCAATTGCACTGCCTATACAATGATTTATAAAGTTTTAACCTAAATTGTCCTTGAACTTACCCTGTTTGTTTAAAAAATGACTTATCATTGAATTACAAGCTTTCACATCTGGCTTTTAAGCAGCACAATATGAAATCCAAGTTAGGAGAAATCAAGTCTATAATATCCTGTCTGTTCCTCATATTTTGACCCAGTATTCAAAGTATTAATTTCAGATTTTTTATTTATTGATTGATTTTGAGAGAGAGAGAGAGAGAGAAAAACATCGATTTGTTGTTCCACTTATTTATGCATTCATTGGTTGATTCTTGTATGTGCCCTGACCAGGGATCTAACCCACAACCTTGGTGTATGTGGTCAATGCTCTAACCATCTGAGCTACTTGGCCAAGGCTCCATAGTATTAATTTTAATAAAATTGTAGTACAGCACAATGTAAAGCATATGGCCTTTGAAGTTGGTAGGCCCTGAATTTGCATATGGTTCAATGACTATCTTTGGGACCTTGGCCAAGTTATTTAGTATGTTTCTTAATCTCTAATACGGGGAAAATTATAGCACAAACTGCATAGATTTGTTAACAGGGAAACTGTTTTAGTAGGATGCCACTGGCATCGAAGTGTAAAGAATACAGTTTTGAAAGAGGAGCTCATTACCTCTATAGATCTATAATCTCTCCATGACCACTTCCTTACAATGGAAAAGAGATGGATACAGAGAAATGTATTCGAGTTCTCTCATGCCCTACAGCCAAGATGGTAAAGTGCCCTAATTGGCTTCTTTAGTCTCTTGTTCCCCCTTTACCCCACTTTAGTTCCTCTTCCCCTAGGTGTTTGGTCAGTCATTAGGTTGTTTCTACTCATTATCATTAGTTCTGTAACCTAGATACCCTAATTTTCTTTATTTCCCCTGTGCCACTACCTCTGGGCAGCAGGCAAGGAAGTTTACCTCTGAGTTGGAATAAATACACAGAGATGCAATCATTCACCAGGCATTCCAGAGACATGAATTACCACTTGAACTTCCAGGGTCCTAACCCTGGAAAGGAAGACTAGGAAAGAATGACGAAAACCACCTTATAAAAGACAGCATGAGGGCTTGGGCTGTTTCACGGAGCACCTATGAAAACAGCTGGGCATTTTCAGAACTTTGAAATGGGTACAGTACTCAATAATGATCTGAGTCACGATTATCTCTCAAAGGTGAAGGTGATCCCTGAGAATCTAAGCAATAATCTAAAAGTAGCCTTTAAACCATCTTAAAATACACTAGTGTGTCACAAACCATTTATGAGCAATGATAAAGTACCAATGACAAATGATTTATTAAAAGAATAATTTAGAGCAGTTTTCTCTGTCGGTTATGCTAATCTTGATAATAAAGTAATTTCGAGAATAATGTTACCCTCACTCATCTCAGTTGCATTTGTAGATTTTTTTTTTGCATAAAAAAAGGAGGAGGGATGAAGTATGCACCTGGGGAGGAAATTTCCTGTAGTATATGGACGAGCCATCAGAGATTTAGATTTCTTAAGCTTAAATTTGGCCCCGCTTGGTCACTTTTCCTACCTTCTGTTTCTTAGCTGTTTTAGCAGAATAAAGTAGAAACTACGTGTCTCCACATTTTTATTTTCAACGACATTAAGAAAGTGTAGTGTGGGAAAGACTCCTCTTGTTTTCAAGTTGGCCTGGCTGGGAAGAAAGGAACCCAGGTGTGGCGAGCAGGTGGTGAAGCTGCGAAGAGAAACAGAAAGCTGACTTGCTAGAGCCTCCAGGAAGGAAGAGAGAGGTTCAGGGGTGCCTGGTTGGGACAGAGAAAGGAGCCTCCGTCATTAGGCTGCTGGAGGAATCCCCAAAGATCCTGACCAGTAAAAGAACCCACTTTAACTCTGCTGTGCCATATTTATTAATGTGTATCTAGTCCAGTGTCTGGGAATTATTTGAGAGTTCAGACTCTCAAATAATTTTGTTCAACTTTAAATCCCTG